GGAGTGGGAGAGGGAGAAGCAGGCTTCCCGCCGAGCAGGGAGCCCGATGCGGGGCTCGATCCCAGGGCCCTGGGATCATGACCAGAGCCGAAGGCAGACGTTTAACGACTGAGCCACTCAGGCGCCCCAGTAATAGCAACTCTTGAGTCTTTTGGAAGAACTTAGGTTCTCTCTTGTATCTCAGTTTTGCCAAACTGCAGGCTATAATATATCATAAGTTTACATGAAAATAGAAAAAAAGAAGCCTCACAATTTTAAATGATAATGGCTATCATCTACTGAATATCTATTGTGTGTGGGGCCCCATACTAAGCATTCCATGTGTTTTCTCAATGATACCTCACAACAAGATATGAAAGAAATCTCACTGTCTCCATTTTACAAAAAAATAGTTAGCTTAGGCTCCTTGAGGAAAAACAATTTATTCAGGATTGTCACATTGCTAGAATTTAAACATTGACTGCTTTGCCTCCCCAGGTTTTCCCATTCCCATTCCATATCTGTCTAACCCCCGATAACGAGGCACAGTGGTAAGTACATCTATAAGAAAGAAGAAAGATGATATTCTTTCTCTCCTTTCTATATACAATAAAAGTTTCACTAAAGATCAAGGAAGAAATGGTCAAGCAAGAAATGATAGCCAAAATGGTGTTCTTCTTAATCATGATTATCTGATGATCTATCTGCTTAATTAGGGCCAACTGGAGGTAGCTCTGTAGAAAGAAGCATATAGTTACTGAAATATACTAGTGGCCAGTTTATTTAACTCATAGCAAGATGAACTGATTTTAAACTGAACTAAAGAGTCATTTCATATTATCAAGCCTTTTCTTCATTTTTTCCCCCCAGCAGACTATTGGTATAGTCCTGAGAAGTGCTTCTCCATTCTATGTCAAGTTCAGAAATGGACACAGAAGTCATCTTTGGTGTATAAAATGTCACAGTTTCCATAGCGTGAGTGACAGAAAGTGGCTATTTAAGAAAATAGACTCTTTGAATATAGCACAAAAGAAAAAGGAACCTAGCTCACTTATAGATGACCTCTCTGCTCTGTGCCCTGACTTTCCTGAAGTCTCAACCCTAGAGGCCCTTGACCTAGTTCCAAGTTTTAATTTATCCCTCTGTGTACTGATTCACTAGGCTGGAAGTCATCCTTCTCTCGAAAGATAGAAACAGGGATTATGATTAAGAAATTAGCAGAGAAATCAACATGCAAATAGATACTCCTTTAATAAGCACTGACCTGTATTTTTCTAAAGACCTGGAAAATAATTACCCAATGGCCAACCACCATTTGATTAAATTGTCTCCAATGATTCTGAGAGCAATAGTATGATTAACCAGCTAGCAGGGGATGGTCTGTGGACCTGTACATCTACATATTTATTGATATATTGGCTTCAAGAAGTTGGATTTCCTGATGATCTGTGGCATCTCCCTGAAGCATCACCAAATTGAAAACTAGGATATGTAAAAGACATCATCAAAACCAGGACATTTTTACATCTCTATTTTATATGTCCTTTTCAAATTAGTGCGCCTGAGGGGATGGCCAAGAGAAGTATTCAGTTTGCTGAAAGAACTTTGCTGGTTATAGACATTGCGCACTCAAAAATTAAACAACGTGATTATTGTCAATTTCAGAACTGGAAGGGTCAAATTTTAAAGCACAGAAGGGAAAGCTTTCAATGACAAGTCTGTTCATATTTGCCAATGCAAATTGGGTAAGCATACTGAGAAGCTAACATCTGCACCAGAAATTGCCTACGTATGCAAATACACCTGTTTAGCTCTTAAATGTGGAGTTTGTATGGTTAATCACAATGTATTTCAGTGAAAATGCATTATTTGATCTAGTTAAATAACTTGATCACCTACCGTTAACTGATCTATTCCCAAATTTATATACCAAACACAAATTTATCATCTAGGTGAGGAGAGGGAGCCATCTATAAGCTCGAGAACCTAGAGATGTAATCACTTCTTTGTTTTCTATTTATCATATAATACATGACTATGGTAAGTAATTTCCCCTCTTTGAATTTCAATTTTCTGATCTGTAAAATGGGTCTAAAATGGCACCAATTGGGGGGAATCATAAAATGTAGACTGTAATTCCAGCATTTCTAGCAACTCCTCTTCTGAGTAAAAACAGATCTTTTAACTGCTTTACACATTACTTTCCTTACCAGAACAGTTGAGGTGGTGTTGGGATTGGAACTCAAGACCTCTAGCCTGGACTCTTTGGACTCTGAGGAGAGAATTCAGAAGATCCCTGAACTCATCATTTGGAATCTGCAATGCTGTTTTATGTTTGGGGCTGATTGTGTCTGTAAGCATTTCTC